GGACCTGAACCTGTTCAGCCTCCACAAGAGAAGGCTGAGGGGGGATCTAGTGGGCTGTTACAAACTAGTCAGAGGGGACCAGCAGGCATTGGGGGAGTCCCTGTTTCCCCGAGCACTGCCAGGAGTGACTAGGAATAACGGTCACAAGCTGACAGAGGGTAAATTCAGATTAGACATCAGGAGGCGCTACTTCATGGTCAGGGCGGCTAGGATCTGGGACCAACTTCCAAGGGAAGTGGTGCTGGCTCCTACCCTGGGAGTCTTTAAGAGGAGGCTAGATGAACACCTTGCTGGGGTCGTTTGACCCCAGTGCTCTGTCCTGCCATGGCAGGGGGTTGGACTTGATGATCTGCTCAGGTCCCTTCCAACCCTACCACCTATGAAACTAGATTTGCTGTAATATCATGTGGCAAAACTGCAGATATCTCAGGACGGGGGTGAAGGATATGAACAAATGTGTGCACAGAATTCATGTCAGGCCTCTTGTCATCATGTGGGCTAGAGAGAAAGTTGTTTTTTCCTGGGCACAGGGGAACTGTGGATCATGCACTTTCTCCAGTGCCTCACCTTTGCCTTCTCACTAGGTTCTATGACAATGCCATTGGTAGAGTTATTGAGCTCCCTGGAGACGACGCAGAGGAATTCTGCCTGGTCTTCATTTCCATAGTTATAAGATGATCCAATGCTGATGAGCTAAGGAACCGGAAACAACCAAAAGAAGGTAAGGAAGAAATGCAGTAATACATAAGCCCTGCTTTGGCCCCAATGCTGTATAGCAAGGAATAACAGGCTGGTTGGGCCCAGTATGAACCAAAGTTTCAACAGGACAAAAGTTGTCTTTGTTACCAGCTTTCCCATGAAATGGTTTGTGCAGTCTAGGTCAGGAACAGGAAGTGTTACACTGCCCTCTGCTGGAAGCTGAACAGCAGGGCAAAATACTGATCACATGCATTTTCCAATTTGGAGAAAATATCAATCAGAGGTTTGTTTGTTTGTTTGTTTAATACATCACCCTAAATCCAAATGTTTAAGGCAGTGGGCTGTCCCAGGCACTGGGGACTGAAAGACTACAGGGTGCTTTCCTCAGCTTTCATATAGCATTATAGGGTGTTTGTGTTTTTCTGTTTTTGTGCCTCGTATTTGTGTTGGGGTTAGAAGGGGTGATTTAGGAGGCAACCCAGTAACACCTGGCAAACTACCCCTATTCTTTACCAAATTACTTTTTAAGATCAAGCTTGATCAGTGTGAGTGGGGTTATCTAATGTAGGTACTTGTGACAGCAATGGAGTGGACTCTGTGACCAGGGAATTCTCTCTGCTCTATACTTGTAATCAGTGCTGTAGCAAAAGGGAGGGGTGGGGGGGGAAGGCAAGTGCCAAAGCAAAGGGGCACCAACAGGTGCTATACAGCTGGGATGGGGTGTGGGGCAGAGCAGCAAGCTCATTTGGGGGGCACGGGGATAGAAGAAGGGCAGCTAGGTGGCGGAAGGCCAGGGCTAATGGAGCTCAGCCCCCCACCAAACGTGGGGCAGCCAGTAGGACTGCAGGCAGCTGCAGCAGAGGCATGCATACAGCCAGGATCACGGCCTGGCATGTGATCACTGGTCACCCAGGACGGCAGTCAGGTATCAGTTGATTCTGTGAAGGGGGGGCAGATAAAGGCCCCAGTGGTGAGGGAGTCAGGCAGAAGCAGGGGCTGGAGTGAATGGGGGCCCTGGCTGGGCAATCTGAGCCTAGGTAGCTTGTCTGGGGGGGCTCCTGCCATTGTGTGCACCCCCCACCAATCTGTGTGCAGGGTAAGGGCAGGCTGCTGCTGTGGGCTTTGCCCCAGGCACCAAATTTTGTTGCTACAGCACTGCTTATAATTGCACTGAAGCAAAGTACTGGAGTGAAAGGCCTAGCTGTCACTAGCATTTCTCAGCCCCACTCTTTCAGGATGCAAAATCCACAAGTGTGGCAAAAAATGGTAGGAATCTTATGCCCGAGCATAAGACTATGTAAGACTGTTATACATCACAAGGTTCTATGCAGGATTTTGGAAAATAGGAAGCCTTGCCTTTTAACAAGGGACAGATGTAGATTATAAATTTCTCTAGAATAATCAATGTAGTCTGTGTCATGCTAAGCCTGAAGAAAGAAGAGTTTGTCTCCATCTTCTTTACAGTCACCCTTCAGGTATGTGAAGACTTATCAGATCCCCTTGGTTTTATTTAAATAGTCTTAGTTCTTTCAGCCTTTCTTAATAAGTCATGCTTCCTAGGCCCTTAATCATTTTTACTGCTTTGCACTGGACTCTTTCTGGAGTCAAACTGTCTACATCGTTCTTGAAATGTGGGGCCCAACCTGGACATAATACTCCAGGTGAAGCTTCACCAGTGCTGAATCAAGTGCAAGAATTGCTTCCGCTGATTTGCAAGACACTCCTGTTGACGTAATCCAGGATGCTGTTGGCTTTATTTATTCTGGAACAAGAGCACACTGTTGGCTCATGTTTAACTTATGGTCCACTGTAACCCCCAGGTCCTTCACTGCAGTACTGCAGCCTAACCAGTCATTTACCAGTCTGCTTTTGTGCATGCAATTATCTCCCTGCTCTGGTCAGTGCTCAGTGCCTGTGCTAATTATGTCAAGTGTTGTGTGGACATTTGTCCAATTAAAAATGGACTGAGAACCATCAAGCTTCTTTCACAAGGGTTACTACACATTGCTACTACATGGTACAGTAAAAGCCCCGTTTTCTGGCATAAGGGGGGAACAGGGGGTGCTGGTAATTTAAAAATACCAGTTATCTGAGGCACAGGAGTTGCTGGCTGGACATGGAGCGGGGAGGTGGTGTATTTGGAAGCCTGCCCTAGAAGTGAAGGTGCCATCCTTGGTAGAGCTATTCCTAGCCCTATGAGTCATTTGGTGTCAGCATGTTTCATTTCAAAAGGACACTGCAGGAAGCAGGTCACTCTTGGAAGGAAGTTCAGCTACAAATCATTTAGACCATCCCTTAATAGGCCATTAATATAGGCCAACCTGGCTGCTGGAGTTCAGAAATACAAGGGAACTAGGTTTGGATTTTGATACCTATTTGGAGCTGATTTATGCCCTATATAACTCCACTGACACCTGGCCAGCAAACTAGCAGTGCTGCAAAGGCAGCACTGCTAACACTGGCAGGGAAGAGTATTTCTCACATCACAACACCTCATGGGTGGATGACTGGACATTGCTGCTGAACCCTGCAGAAAATCTCATTTCCTTTCTCCTTGGCTCTCTAATTTCTCTTGAATAAAGGCCAAAGATGCATAAAAAAAAAAAGTGGGAGGAGGGAAGAGCTTTTCAGAAACCTAACAAGGATACAAAAGGGTTCAAGAAAAATGAATGAACTCTTGCAGATTTAGGAAATGGCTCCTGTTCCCCAGCCAGCTGTTTCATATGGGGCAGGCTGATATCTTATACAGACAGGTTTGTTCGTGGAAGGAGAAACAATGAAATGAGTTTCACTCTCTGTTTAATCTATCTTCCTACTCTGGTCTCATGCCACAGGGCTACAGGGATCACTAGTAGGGGGTGTGCAAAATGGGCCGTATTCGATTCGGATTTGGCCTGAATCAGGGACAATGATTCGGATCACTATCCCAATTTAATTCAGCTGAATCAAAATCTGAAAATTCGATGCCGATTTAGAGAATCAGCGATTCAGCCACGGACACAGCTTTAAATGTTTTTTCTACATACCTTGAGGTACCAGCATGGCTTGTGAATGCTGCGATGGTGGGGCAGATGGAGTGTCCCACAGGAGC